TTCATAACTTACCTCTAGAAACCTTAACGTGTAGTATTTTCCGCCAATACTTTATTTTTGGCAATTAAAAGTTTTATCATTTTTACAATGTATTATATATAGCTCAAACACAAACACATTCGACTTTTTCCAGATCCATCWGTTTCCGTTGARCTTGTCTACCAAGACGAACTACTCCAGCGMCAGCAGACGCGATCAAAGAAACATCGTAAAAAGACCGTCTTTAACGAAGAACTTATCTTTCATATCCCGACAAGCAGTTCGAAYCCTCTTGARAACTATAGTCTCCAGTTTTCTATCTTCACACAGGACATCCTCAAAGGAGCGGTGTGTATTGGCTATGTAACCCTGGGCTTAGATGCACCGAGGGAGTCTGAGGTTGAGCATTGGAAAAGTGTTGTTGCGTCGCCTCATAAACCTATCACTGCTATGCACAAGTTTCATCGGACGCCGGTGTGATGTCGGTGGAAATTCAGTTATGAAATACTCTGAAATTGAGATAAATCAGAACGGCAAACCAGTACAGTTGCGTGGACAGTAGTATGAGCACCAAAAGAGGCGAATGAAGCTCTAGTTACGACTCGATCCCAAAACTATTAGATGATATTAAATTATTAGCTTTTTTTCATCTATGGCATGTTCGATTTAAGCTTGCGTTTCAGAAGATTATATTATTACAGGGTTTTCTGGCATGACATAACGACTGCATGTTAGATCTAGAGTGTACAATCCTCATTAAGGCTTATGAAGCATTTTCGACTATTGTTTTATGGTGAAGTATTATTGTAAATTTTTAATGATAGCATGCTAAGTTACATGCTTGTTATAAAACAGAACCATGAAGGCAGTAGAGAAAGGTAAGTAGTTACACTGATACACGCATTGCATTGTTTTCTATGCCTATAGAAAAAGTATTACCGATCACCTTATAGTGAACACTTATTTCATTTTTTCTCAACAATGGTTTCTCTATAGGACTACTACAACTAAACCATTTAATGTTGTTTCACGTTTTTAAAGATCCACATGCATCCGTGGACCTTTGCAGTATTTTTCACATCAATTTCAAATCTTTAATTTTCAACCAATCAGAATGCACTTAGACTCCTCCTGCAGAAGCACTTCATTTTGTCCTTTCGGGATCCCTCTGGAATACTCTTCCTCGGTGGTCATATTGAGGAATAGACTCGAGCTCAAGAGTAGAAAGAAAAGCGGAAAGGAAGAGAAGCGCCTGCGTATGAGTCTAAAAGCAACAAACGAGCGCAAACGTTCTCGGATGAACGTCGGCCTTTWATGTCTTCACTTTATTAGGTTTATTAAATTATAAATTAATATTAATTTAGTATGATAGACATAATATGATAAATTATTTGACGGCGCCATGTGGGCCTGGCACATAAAAGAGACAAAAGTAAAAAAACATAGAAAGAAAAGATAAATTATATATTGCTATTGCAATTTATTGTGTTTGAGCTGTTGTTTGACTTATATTCTGCTAACTACTTGAAATATCTAGCTAATATCAGAATATTTGAAACGTGAAGAAAATAAAAAAAAATGTTGAAAAATCAGATTTATATTCTGAAACTGGACGACAATAAACTTCCGAACTAAACCCCTTACCGTGATTTCCATGACTTTTTACGAATATTTACCAATTCTTTCTTGTTATTAGTTTAGCGCTCCGGCGTGTAATATACGTAGTATTCAGGCTTTTTCGCCTGAATTGATTTTTGGATAATAAGCAAAACTATGAGATGTAGTCCTTTGTATCAAATGCCGATAAATTTTTGGGTTTTGAAACAATCGTATAATAAAATACTACGAAAATTCATGTGCGCGAAGATTGGGCTTCCTGTGTATCAAAGAAACGGAAGTTCAATTAACCGGAAGTGTCAGAATCATCCTGTCTGCGAAAGTGATGAAAAAATGAAATACTAGCATGTCAACAGGCCAGTTTCCGTTGAAGACACAACAGCGACCAGGAATGGGTAAGTTCTCTTTATTATTTCGATAATTGAAATATCTACTTCTCTTTTTTTAGCTGTTGGTGTTTTGATACCATTAGATTCGTTAGTGAGTTACATATTGACCAATATTGATCGTYATTTTCAGGGTCATGAAGTTTAGCGTTCAGTTAACCATGGCGGGAGTTTGAAAATAACGACTGACTGGCTAAATAAAGAGCTTCAATGTTAGCCTTAGAATGAGCTCAACAGCTCGCTACATAGCTTATGCCATAGTAATCATCTTTGGACTWGTAGTATTTGTATTAGTTGCAATCCTTGCTATAACGTACTTCACTCGACGAAGACGCGCTCGTTATTCAAGAGGAGCAAGGCGTTTGCACTCTCAATACTCTTTCATCTCGCCTCTTGATCATCCACAATTTGTAATTMCACCGTATGTCACCGACGAGGACGTATTTGAGAGCGGCAGCGAAAGTTCTTTGAGTGTAATCCAAGAGGAAACAAGTGAGCGCGGTTCGCCCTTGAATCAGTCACCGCTTGGGACTCCAACGATCACYCGACCTCAGTTGCAAAGATCTGTGAGTGAAATTGAAAGCAGGTATAACAGAGAACGGTCGAGACCGAAATATCGTAGAACWGTTTCTACGCTTGGAGGATCWCTGTCTCATCAACAGCTAAAGAGGAAGCCCTCGGCCGTGCCTCCACATGGGAAAATTCAAGCTTCGATTCATTATGATACAAGTAAAAGTTTACTGGTAGTTGAGGTGAGTTAGAAAAGTAATAGATTTTGGAATATCTAGTAATTTTATCTTGTATTCTTTTGTATACAATGCGTTATATATAAGTAATAGATTTTGGAATATCTAGTAATTTTATATTGTATTCTTTTGTATATTCAATCATACTTTTCTTCAATATAATGCGTTGCAAAATATTGACCTTTTTGCGTGAACTTTTTGATGAGTCCATGCATATTACTCTCTTGAACACTAGGAACAATATAGAATCTAAGAATTTTTATAATGCTTGTTTTTCGGTGGAATAAGTTAAAATTATTGAAAATTACGTTGTTTTCGGTTAATTTTTAAGTCCAGTTTTGTCTAATCTAAATTTACTTATGTAAACAAATGTAACCCACCTTCGAAACTCTGCGATATTAAAAAAAATGTCATTTAGTTTCCCTTTTAATGTTATTCTTTTGAAATCCTTATTTGTATTTCGATTTACTTTAACAAACCTTTAATAACTGTATAAATACTTAATTTTATAAATTTTTTAAGGGTATACTGAACTACAAAACTAATGCATCTATTTTTTTATTGTTTGGCGACACATGGGCTGTGTGAGCAATGTAGAACGTGTCACAAATTGAAAGATTTTAAATTTTCTGCTAAAACAGGTCGACTTTCACTTTTATTTCAGTGAAGACCGGAAACAAGGATTATTTAAAGTTATGTATCTAAACAGGAATTGCTTTCTTGTTCAATATTCCTGTCGAAACACATCAGGCACGTCAGTATTATTTATTTCGATTTTTAGCGCTCAGATCCTCTTACAARTAAGCTGATCCGTGATTGGTTGAATTTCACCTCGGCAGCCATGCTCGTTGATAGAAAGAAAATATTTGATGGGAAAAGTAATAATGGCACTTTTTACTCGAATTAATGTCAAAAATCTTTCTTTGTACACTTTTTTGCATTTTTGTGAACTTAAATTSAGAATAACACATAACATAGCGTGAGAGGAGTTGTTGAGAAATTGCTCATGAATTCGTAGCTATCAGAAAAGTCTATTTGAAAATATCGGATAAAATTCTTTGTGTTCACAGAATGACTGTAAGTAGTCTTGAGAAAACTTGAACAAAAAACTCNTCAGCGGCGAAGACGAAAAAGACATGCGCACAAATTTCATGAATCTCTCGACCAATAGGATTTGTGCATTTGATCGTGTTGCGCTGGAAAAGGCGAGGGTGTCGACATTAAAGTTCGTTGTTCTGGATTATGATAAATTCTCAAGAAGGTAAGGTTTCAACAGCTCGTACCCAGGCCCGTATCACTTCTCTTGGGAAGGAATAAAGGTCCTGGGAACGAAGTTGTCAACATCCTTACTAGTTCACAAAAGCATAGAAATGTGTGTTGTGATATCTCATTAATGCTTTTAATTTTTTGTAATGATTCTTAATAAACAAAATTCATTCCATTAAAGTGAATTTGTTGCGGGACTAACAGTTCCACTCAGCGAGCTAAATATAGAAGAAGGAGAAACCATTTTGCGAAAACTTAAATCGCAAGGAATGCCCGAAGTGGTGAGTAGTCAATTTTCGCTGTAATGCCGTGAAACAAAATACGCAGCACTTTGTGAATTATAAAGTGAAAAAAGTCTAATGTACTTTAAAACATCGTCCAAATTGCCTCATAACATCGCTGCCACTGTTCAGGATGACGAGATGCATGGTTTTCGCTGTACAACGAGGGATTTAACGAACTTATCACGCTAGCTAAATAAGCTCTGTTGCAAGTTGCGCAAACATCATTGTTTTTATTGATCTTGATAGTTTTTAATTGCAAATCCCAGTTCACTGAATACTACAGTTTCGAATTCTATTTTGTGCAAGCTTAGCTTCAATCAAGCATATTGTCTTCTTTGTACAGAAATTGTTTGCTGAATATATGACCATATATGTAACATGCTTTCGAGGTTAAGGCTGAACAGATCTCGAAACTTGGGTATTCACCCTTCGTTGAGCCAATAGGGCAGCCATTATAATAAATATTTGATTTATTCAGCGCAGCGACGATTTGCCAGCTTGACAAGTTACGTTTTATGATTTTTTTTGAAACTGGAAGTATTGTTTTCACTCCAGTTCTTTTCGCTAGCTTGTTCCAAATGATTTTAGCTGATTACATTGTAATAATCCATTGAAATAAATTAAACTATCTTCACAGGATGAATCGCTGGGAACACTGTCGGTATCCCTGTGCCAGGAACCAAGGGAAGGCCGTTTAGTTGTTCACGTAATCAAAGCGGAAAATTTGCCATCCAACAAAACCGAAGAATTAACTGGTAATATAAGATGTAATAGTCTCCTTCATGGTTACGTGCGCCATATTGAAAGGTAGCCGTGCCTTTACATCGAAGCGAGACAACCGTTGAGCATGCAATGATAGATACCTGTGAATAATTGTCTGTAGGTGTGAAAGAAGGTTTCTATCATTGCACGCTCAACGGTCGTCTCGCTTCGACGAAAGGCACGGCTACCTTTCAAGATGGCGCAGGGAACCCTGAAGAAGACTATTGAGTCGACTTAGGATGAATTCAATCGGCTGTTGAGTGTCATGTTTCAAATGGTTCAATCTCACATGTGCCTAATTGAACTCAAATGCACCCCCCCCCCCCCTACACACATACACAACCCCCTCCCCACTCTCTTCCCCTTCCATATAACGTTGATACGTCGCCCCGTGGATACAACTTATTTAAATAACGTTGTCGGATCGCAAAAAGGTCATATCATAGAGTCTAACCCCGGAAAGGATTTTAGGCGCTCAGAAATGCAAGTATATTTATATAAACCTGTTACATGATTAAAATTACTCGTAGAGAATGTCATTTTCTTCAGTCCAGGTAATCTTTTGGCCCTGCGAAAACACTGTTACACTCTTAATTATATAGCCACATATTAATCCCAAATAGGTAAAAGCTGGATTTTTCGTTAATTTTGGATTCCTGTCCAATTAAGAAATTAATTGGACAGGTTTTCAATTGGGTTTTTGTTAAAAGCTGTGGTTGGCTTTTACCTATTTGGGATCAATATGACGGCCTCGTCCAATTTTTGGCAGTCCTTGGAATTTTCCTCGTCCAATTATTTCTTAATTGGACAGCATGGAGTCCTATTACATATAATAATATTTTATTTCCCATCCTCCCTTTCGGTTTTAGCTTTCATGATTTATTTTTTTAAACCCGACTAACTTTTTCAATCAGGTGTATAAAATCTAATTCATCAATATAATCGTATGACGAAGTGGCTGATCCCATTAAAGAGTGCTCAATACACATAAAGTGTAGAGCTAGTTATATATATATGATATCAAAGAGGCAAGATTTTGCTGTAACTCCGAGTTTCGTGCTACAAAATATATATCAATATATCATATTTTTTCTTATTTTAGATTCATATGTGCGAGTAACATACCGTGCACAGGGTAAACAGATCGACAGACGAAAGACTAAGGTCATTAAGCGAACAGCAAACCCAGTTTTCAACGAGCCATTTATCTTTCAAATGAAAGAAGAAGAGTTAACTCACTCCAGCGTTGTTTGTGATGTCTTTTATGGCGATTTTAAACTCAAAACAGCAAAGATTGGTCATGTAAGCCTTGGTACTGGCCAGGAATCGTTTGGAAGCGAGATTAGACATTGGAATGAAATGATGTCATCGCCTGAGAAACAAATTGTCCAATGTCATAGCTTACGCTCGTGAAGAACACAGAATAAGACAGTTGTCTTCAAGTAATTCTATTGAAAGGATCATTAAACACCCCAAAACTAAGGATTTTGTTATGGTCGTACTATATCATATGTGTTAAAACGATTGTGGTTTGTGTCTTTGAAGTGTTCTCTAACCCGCCAAAGTGCTTGATTTCACAAATGTGAACCATGTCAGTCCATACTTTATTGATATTATAAAAAAATGTCACCAGTTGAGGAGGTATATATTCGTAGCGGCAAAACAACGCATATTTTACCTACCAGATCGAGCGTATAAACAACAATATTATATTCATTTCCATATTACTGTTCCCAGCACCACTTGAAAGGTGTGTAGCCTAGCCTTTGCATCAAAGCGAGCTTGCAATAATAGATACCTGTGATTAGTTAATTGTCCTTGGTGTGATTACAAGGTATTTATCACTCATGCAGGCTCAACTACTGTCTGGTATTGATGCAAAGGCTTGGCAACCTTTCAAGATGGTACAAAATGGATAATTGTGAAACGTCGGGTTGAGAAAGGGAATTAGAATGGCTTTCATACTTGTCTAATTCTCTGATAAATTTCACATATAGCATCGTTCTTTGTAATATATTACATTACATTGTTATCAATTGTATTGTAAATCTATTGTTGTATGTGTTAGATTTGAAACACGGCCTTTGTGCAAGTCAACGACATTTACGTCCATTTAATCCCCTTAACTAAATTAGTATTATTTTGTTCTTGTTATCTGTTTAATTGTGTCAACAATCAATCAGTTCAGCATTATATCGAATCACGCTACATTAAGGTGTGCCAAGCTCGTCAACGTAACAAACCCCTTTTGTCAGTTTTAAGTTAGCCAGTAAGCTACAATCGTTTCAATATTCATCGTCTTAGTAATCTATCTCTATCTGGTGCATCTGTATACCAAACTTCAAACCGACATTCTCGACATTATCAACATTCTCGACATCATTATCGTCAATCCGTAAATAAAATCATCAATTCCATCGTGTTGTGTTTGAAGTGAATACGTTAATCTGATGCACCGCGTCTACAGTCCATATGTATGAACTACAGTATGAATGTATCAAAATACAAGAACACAATGCGATGCATAAATTTGTCAGAGTACCGAACAACCCTCAAATAAACAGGCCCCTTTTTCGAGCGGTGGAATTAAATAAACTTTATCAAATTGATAAAATAAAGTAGTCATTGATATTGTAAACATGCCTTTATTTAAACATAACAAAATATAATTGTACAATCATATATCGTGCATGTTGTCATTATTTTTTTGTGTACAGTCATTATCAAATATTCTGACCACTAACATATATCGGGTGGATTGTGATACATGTGATTTTTCAATAACGTTGTAAATTTTTTAGTTAAGAGTTACCCAAAGATATTATACGTTGAATTAAGGATTTAAAATGTCATCCCTATACATGTATATTGATAAGTATATTAGTATTTATAAAATTTTTGATATATAACGCGCGCTCTGATTGGCTGACGACCGTGTTTATATCAGAGGACAGAGAAGACACGGCTTACCGGCAAAATTTTATTTTCGCTCGAAAAATTTTATAAAAGAAATATAAAACGGCCGCTTGTGTCTCTGTCCTCTGATATAAACACGGTGGGAGTTGAAAAACACTCGAGAAGCAAGAGAAACACTCGCTACGCTCGTGTTCCTAAGCTTGCTTCTCTCGTGTTTTTCGAACTCCCACCGTGTTTATATCAGAGGACAGAGACACGCGCGCCGTTTTATATTTCTTAAATA